CAGAGTAATGCTAAATATCCTAAAATCTTTGAAAAAAGCAAAAAGATTTTGTATCACAGCTAATTTATATAGAGGATTAACCACTGTGTTCGGTTGTTACCGAAAAATCTACACACGAGTGATTAATCTGCCACGATTAGAACGAGGCTTTACCTCTGAATGGAGAACTCTCTCTTGATCTTTTCTTTGACCCATTCCTTTCTTTCACTCGTGAGTTTCTACCTAAAATAATAATATCAAATTAATTTTTTCACTGCTCCCTATTAGAAATCAAAATAGTTAAGAAAAAATATAAATACATATATTACTTTTAGAGTTTTCATAGATCAAGGTACTTATAACTGCATTCAAGTTTAAATGTGGTAATGTTAATGTTTTTTTATTAAAAAAATGAGCTTCATAATTTTCCAGAAATTGTATGTTTCAATTATTGAAGTCTTCAAGGTAAAAAAAACCCAAATATTTATAGGCCCAAATAGATGAATTATATTGATCTGGATAAACTCTACCTGTTGTAAGGGGAGACAACTGCTGTGGTTGCAGTACACCCTGGTCGTGCGCTGTACGGTCCGGCAAAGTATGATCGTTTCCTTCATTAAAATGAAGTATTGCGTTAGATACAAATTATTGGAGTCTTTATTTTCTTGAAATATGAAGTCTCTATTATTGTCAAATAACTCTGAAATATGCTTTGGACGCTGGGTTACACAAACGATCGATCGGCTCCATATCAACACTTCGTTTATAACGTGACATTGCTTATGTGTTTGATGGTTAATTTTTTTAAATACCAAAAGCAATATGGTAGTTTATTAGTATTTTTACATAAATTAATTAACTATTTCATTAGCTGTTTTATTAGCATTGAAAACGCCCAGTGAAGAATCTTCCGGAATGGCTCACCTGGTCCCGTAATATCGAAGCGGTATCTTGCTTCGGTCACCGTCTTCCCATTCTGCGACTTAATCTCGTACATCGGGAAGCCGAAATTCTCAGATACATCTCCGCATATCACACCCCTTCCTCCTCCACAAATTTTCACTTGATCACCAACTTTCGGTGATTGAAACATCGTCACTACGGTGGGGCCTAATGTTTTGACAGCTGAGTATTTCCTGCACCAGACGACCTCGGGAATCCCCGATTCGAAAATAGTGCCGGAATTTATTTTTAGACAGCCAATCAAAACACGATGACACAGCACTCCACTATCAGCCAGCCAATCAGATTGCGTAAATAAAAATAAACCACTACGAATAAACCACTGCTGGCGATTGGAGATCAAGCCCTGTTATGGGAGAAACATAAGTAACATTTTGAAAGACGTGTTGATAATTACAAAGGGCTTAAGAATAATTTATGATAAACTCATTGTTACAACTAACTTTCCTCTGATGTGTGATAAATGGGAAAATGAACTTAATCAAAGCATTTTATGGAATTATGTTTTCACTAATTGTAAAATGTGTACCGATGATGTTAAACTAATACATTTCCAGTACAGATTCATATACAGAGCTCTATATACCAAAAAGGAATGATTGAAAATGAAGTTGATGATGATATATACTCTTCTTGTATCTCTGAATCTAAAAACTTATACCATATATATGTAGAATGCGTTTTCTAAAGGAATTTTGGTTCGAAACTTGCATATGATATTCATATTATTGTTGTGGATATATCATTTTGCTACAACAAAAACAACGATCTTTTCAACCATATAATTCTTCTTGCAAAATATACACCCACCAGTCAAGCATTAACAAAACTCCAATATGCTTTCCTTTCTTCATAAAAATATTGTCAGATGTATGTAAAATAGAATTTTTTTATCGCAATGAAAAATAGTAGTATTAATAAATTAGGCAGAACATGGAAGGAATTATCAGCCTACTTAACATAACTCATCAGCCAATCGAATATATGTATATACCCATATCTGATCATGTTTTAAGATGACATGAATTGCTACAGTTATATACCTCATGTATTACACATGTAGTACTCTCAATGTTGGTTCTACACTTAGGTTATTTGTATTGATGTTTAACATTTAAAACAATCTTAGATACTGATTGTTTTTTGTTGTTGTTTTTTCAGCCCGACAACAAAATAACTGTCTGCATATGTCCAATGTATAACTGGACGTTGATAAAGACTAGAACCAGATGGCTTGATATCATATATCAGCGTGTCAGGTTTGTTAATAAATAATTGTTTGTTCATAACTTCAACACAGCAGAATAGATACTATCAGCGTGTGTTCTGTCGTCGATGTACCATGCACCGCATTTCTTGCTTAACTGGAGTTCAATGGTACAGATGTCCAAGCATTGTCCCTTAATATAGTCTGCATCTATAAACTGCTAGCAATGTCCAACTTTTCTTTTGTACTTTACTTGTATTTATACACTGAAAAGAGGATTTATAATAAATAATCATCAGAGATAGTTTAGTGAATGTCCACGTCTACATACGTTGCAATAGAACGTTAATAAAGACTGGAACCAGATACGTTAATGAAGACTGGAACCAGATAGCTTGGTCTTAGAGATGCGAGTCACAGGTTAATTAATATAATTAAACTCAAAACGACAATTGATGATGATACATCGGTGTGTGGCCTTTCTTCAATGTAGTTTGCAATATAGTTCCGCTTATAACTGGAGTTCAATGGTACAGATGTCAAATTATTGTCCCTTAATATAGTCCGCATCTATAAACTGCTAGAATGTCCAACTTTTCTTTTGTACTTTACTTACACTGAAAAGAGGATTTATAATAAATAATCATCAGAAATAGTTTAATGAATGTCCACGTCTATATACGTTGCAATAGAACGTTAATAAAGACTGGAACCAGATACGTTAATGAAGACTGGAACCAGATAGCTTGGTCTTAGAGATGCGAGTCACAGGTTAATTAATATAATTAAACTCAAAACGACAATTGATGATGATACATCGGTGTGTGGCCTTTCTTCAATGTAGTATGCAATATAGTTCCGCTTATAATTGGATTTAAATGGTAAAGAAAGACAATCCGCGCCGCATTTGCCCTTGGAAGCCTGACAATGTATACCCAACTCATGTGTAATTAAGTTCAGCTTCAACGAAACACAGACTATATATACCCTTGAAGATTTTCCATAAGTCGTGGCGATCAGACAAACGACACTATCATCATAGACGAACCAGTAAGATTGGAACTGCATTCTTTACGTTAAGTTTGGTTGTTTGTGTTTTGATTTTTGTATGTGTTATGTTGTTTCTTGTTGTTGTTGCCTTTTCTGCTTTCTTTGTGTGTTGAGGGTGGGAGGGTGCATCAACGGATCGATTTTGTCGAAACCTGTTCTCACGGATACAGACAGGATGAAATGTGTGAACACGATTTTCATTCTCAGCTCCCTGGGAAGTAAATAACCCAATCAGCCAGTGAGACGCAACAATGTTAACAGTCATATTGCCACTTCTCCTACCGGGTAGCCTTTCGCCCTATACGCTTCTGTTCACGTACGTACCCCACGCGCATTTGTTTACGTACTCACCCCATGACCTATCCGCTTCTGTACATGTACTCACCCCACGCCCCATACGCTTCTCTACATATACTCACTTCACGCCCCATCCGCTTCTGTTCACGTACTCACCCCACGCCCCACCCGCTTCTGTACATGTACTCACCTCCCGCCCCATACGCTTCTCTACACATACTCACCCCACGCCCTATCCGCTTCTGTTTACGTACTCACCCCACGCCCCATCCGCTTCTCTACATATACTCACCCGATGCCCTCTCCGCTTCTGTACATATACTCTCTACACGCCCTATCCGCTTCTGTACATATACTCACCCCACGCCCCATCCGCTTCTGTACATATACTCACTCCACGCCCTATCAGCTTCTGTACATATACTCACTCCACGCCCCATCCGCTTCTGTTCACGTACTCACCCCACGCCCTATCCGCTTCTGTACATGTACTCAACCCACGCCCCATCCGCTTTTGTACATATACTCACTCCACGCCCAATCCGCTTCTGTACATATACTCACTACACGCCCTATCCGCCACTGTTCACGTACTCACCCCACGCCCCACCCGCTTCTGTACATGTACTCACCTCCCGCCCCATACGCTTCTCTACATATACTCACCCCACGCCCTATCCGCTTCTGTTTACGTACTCACCCCACGCCCCATCCGCTTCTCTACATATACTCACCCGATGCCCTCTCCGCTTCTGTACATATACTCTCTACACGCCCTATCCGCTTCTGTACATATACTCACCCCACGCCCCATCCGCTTCTGTACATATACTCACTCCACGCCCTATCAGCTTCTGTACATATACTCACTCCACGCCCCATCCGCTTCTGTTCACGTACTCACCCCACGCCCTATCCGCTTCTGTACATGTACTCAACCCACGCCCCATCCGCTTTTGTACATATACTCACTCCACGCCCAATCCGCTTCTGTACATATACTCACTACACGCCCTATCCGCCAGTGTTCACGTACTCACCCCACGCCCCATACGCTTCTCTACAGATACTCACCCTACGCCCCATCCACTTCTATACATATACTTACTCCACGCCCCATCCGCTTCTGGACATATACTCACTCCACGCCCCATCCGCTTCTGTACATATATTCACTCCACGCCCCATCTACTTCTGTACATATACTCACCCCACGTCCAATCTGTTTCTGTACATATACACACCTCATGCCTCATTCGCTTCTGTACATATACTCATCCCACGCCCCACCCGCGTATGTACATTTACTCACCCCACGCCCATCCGCGCATGTACATGTATCTATATTTACAAAACTGTGTCATACAGCTGGAACATTGCTAGTTGCGAAGTTCAAACATGAACATCGTGATACCATCATCATACAACCTTAGGAAGTAATCACCACGAATGTGACGGGTTTACAATAGTTTTGCAAAAGTTAATAGTTTCCCTGACACTGGGAGGAATCTGTCTGTATTGCTAACTTCTTCATAATCTTGTAGGAGATGATCATGCGGATCCTGTTTGTGCTGTTCCTGGTAGAAGCCTGCGCTGCTCAGGAGCCTGGAGGTGAAGATGGAGGTGAGTGTTGAACCATGGAATCAACATTGATTTGAATTATATGAAATATTAAAAATAAAAAAACTTTCGAGTCGTTCCATTTAGACAACGCTACAAATAGTCGTACGATTATATTTACACTGTTCTTATGTGAACGCATTCTGTGTTTTCTCCACTTCGAAACCTGATGGACCTCCTAACATTCATGACTTAAAAATGATTTTATTTTCTTCAAAATAGACAAGCGCAATCCCTATTTGTAGACATCTCAGACGCAAGAATATTTATAAAATATATCACAACACGCAGTGGATGATTTAAGGTTTCAAAATCAAATATAAATAAATGTGCAAAACATGTCTACTTTTCTTTGAAGGTTTTCAAAGCGTTTTGTTGGGGTAAAATATGTATAGACAGGTTTTATTAGTATTATTTGCTCAGATGGCAGAGGTACATTTCCAAACAACACGGTTTTAAGATCCTAACAGCGCTAGCCTATATAAAAGAAACATTTTTTACATTGAAATAGATAATGAAGATTATCTTCGTAATAATGAGCACATCTACACTTGGAGTCAATAGAAATAAAACCATCAAACGTGTGCCCATTCAGGTGAAAACAATTGAAGCTAACTCCACAATGTATGATGAGGACATTTGTTTCTAGTACCATCACATTGAAATGAAATATGTAAATTACTAATAATATATGTCTCGCAAAATCTTTTTAATTGTATTAAACATTGAGTACATCTTAAAGTGTCATCCAACATATTCCGATCATGTTCTGGTGATTCAGGCGATATGAATGGACTTAGTATATTGGAAGATCTTGTTTTACATACATGGACGTGACAGAAGTGTTAAAAGGAATTAACCAGGTTGTTTTATTCAGGCGTTTTATTACAGAACATTTAATTGAAATACACCCATTTTGTTCTTTTACGAGCCTTCACTTCGTGAAATATAAAAGAGTTATGCCGAGCCTGTAGGCTGTTTCTATTCAAACCATATTTAAAACATATGTGGAGGAATACATACTGTGGCGTGACATGAATCAGGTGATTGTTTAATTTATGCACTCTCCATGACGACAGATGTTTGCGCGTTTCTTGTTGTATGTGGCTAAGATATAGAACTCTCATATACACTTTAATGATACATTGCTGTTCTGATATGTATAGGGCGGTCGGGTAGCCTAGTGGTTAAAGCGTTCGCTCGTCACGCCGAAGACCCGGGTTCGATTCCCGACATGGGTACAATGTGTGAAGCCCATTTCTGGTGTCCCCCGCCGTGATATTGCTAAAAGCGGCGTAAAGCCATACTCACTCACTCACTCACTCTGATATGTATAATTAGTTTGCCTGACAGTGTTATATTTGTTCAGGTACGATTGGTGTGTGCGATGGAGTTAGGGCAAAACTGGAAAAAGCATTTCAACGATGGCCGGCGCTGAAAGAAGATTTTGGGTTGAATGACAAAAATCTAAGCAGATCAAGGAGTTACTTCACATATGACTTTGCAGTCCTACTCGACTACCCACCTGGCGTTGGTTCTTGTGGTGGACGATATCCAATCTGGGAGAAAGGTAATTAATACTAATACTAATTCTAATACTGTCTTGTATTATGTCTGTGCATGGCCGCTTGGATACTACCACCTTCGGTTTCAAGGCACTCTTCAAGGATATGTTTATCGCCACTGACAAATTTGGGAGAGGCATTATTGTTTGCTGTTTAACTCCATACTCAGCAATATTTCAGCAATATCATGGCGGTCTGTAAATAATCGAGTTTAGACCAGACAATTCAGTGATTAATTGGGATACGATGACATGCATCAATCAAGTCAGCGAGCCTGACCAACCGATTCCGTTAATCGGCTCTTACGACAAGCATAGTTGCCATTTACGGCAACATACATGTAAATATTTTAATCTGTAACACATATAAGGGTAAATTGTTTGATAGTTGACGGATGACAAAGTAGACACAATTTATGTCTTGCTTGACGACGGTAAAAGGATCTATCCCGAAACGTCGCCTTTACAGTATTAAAGAAGTTGTTATCCATAAATTGTGTCTACTTTGACATAAATGGGTAGCTGAACACATGATCAAAGAGACACGTTTTCAGTTTGTCGATCAGCTTACGGTAACGGATCCAGTATCCCATCTGATCCCGGCACAGAAATAAGAACCTGGGGCTATAGTCTGGCCCAGAATTGCCACAATGACAAGTTGCGATTGCTTGCTTGTTCATTTGTTGTTTACCGTCGCACTCAGCAATAACTGTGAAAGGCTCTACCTTCACAGGGGGTTGAAGTATCGTAAAACAATTGTCCCCCAGAGAGGGTGCGTAAGTCCCACTACCTTTAAAGTATGTTTCATGTTCCTTGATTTTAATCGTAGAATATTTGTTGATTTTTAAATACTTTGGCTTAAAATATCTAACAATCACCAGTAGCCAGAGGGATGGTGTGAAGCCTGCTGGGGGACCATCCAGGAAGCAGATGTTCAGTAAGTCCCCATGGTGGCCTAACTTTGGGTGCTGGTGATCTCTAGCCCAGTTTTATAATGTATTGTTTAGAATAGTCACTTTTTTATGTTCCATGCTAGTTTTAAATTTATATCTGTGATAGTTTAAAGCTTTTACTGTCCTTTGTCGACAGATTTTAAAGTTAATATTTATATATTATTCCTGTACAACTTCATTTAGTCACGATATGGCTGAAATACTGCCGACATGACTATAAGTTTTTACTCACTCACTATATCACGGCGTTCTGTAAATAATCAGTCTGGACCAGACAACCCAGTGTTTGCCATCGATGTACAAAATTAGGATACAATGACTGACCACCCGATCCAGATCAACTTTAACCCTGATATGCATGGGTTCGCCAACGACAAACAGAAAGTACCTTTAATTATTAATTCTTACTAATAAGTGAAATTAGGGATCACCAGTGTCATATTTAAGGATTCTTATTTAGACGTTTATGAGAATGCTCGCTGGTGAAATCAAAGCCTTGTCACTTTTGCACAACTCACTGCCTCCTTTCTTCTGCGGGGGCACGGGTGGCCCAGTCGTCTAAGGCGCCGCGATTCGCTGTGCAGTGTTGCGTCCCTTGGGCACGCCAGGAACCTATGATTGTGGGTTCAAATCCCGGTTCGCCCTGATTATGTTTCTGTATTGTCAGCACCATACCCGTGCTCGTGGGTTTCACGGAAGTGGTAAACGTCTGAGACTTCACTTAGGGTTCACTTCCGGAGCGTAAGTCATACATCTTTTGTCCTGTGTTTCAATGGACTTTGTATGTACGACGCATTTGCTGCACTGTTGTGTTTAACTATTTTCAGGAATTTAAGTTTGTTGGCTTTGTGCTTCGCGGGCAGAAATGTTAACTGAGGGTAGGGTTGGTATCAAGTGCCAAAACTTATAAATCACCCATAACTCAAAGAATGAACAATCATTTATTTTAATATCATTAATATCACATTGTAAACGTGAGCATGTTTTGTCTGAAGTGGATAGCTATTAACGTTTCACTATTGCTTTAGGATAAGGATTGCAAAGGGACGTAATCCTGCACATCGAATTTCTGCGCCATGGAAGACAGGAAACAGTCCCCATGCTCATGTGTTTTACCAAAGTGGTAAACGACTGACACCCGCATCACTTCGGGCTTTCCTCCCACATTAAGCTGATGTAAATGGAATACTGTTAAAAGCGGCGTTAAATTCGACTCACTCACTCACTCCCTTTGTTCTGCGAAACACGTTTCATTCATATCTCTCACGCAAATAATCCATGAGTCTGAACCTTTTTCTTTGTAGAAAAAAAAGCAAAGACATCCGTTGTGTGCATCCAAACCGAGGAGAGTATCTGTTTCAAACAGTTTGTGATAGACTCCGAGAATTGCTATGGTGTTATACCCACGTACAGACTTCAAACTGATTTCGACGGGAGTGTTTTCTGTTTTCGTAAGTATCTTCATCAGAACGTGCGATTACGCCCCTAAGGTAACCTTAGTACGACAGATTTGCACTGGGAGTTATTATTTATTATCTAACTCTGCGTCGACAATATTTCAGCAATGTTGTAAACTCGCTTTCGGGGTGTTGCTTTCTGCGGCCAGCATGTGTGTGTGCTAGCTCCAGACGAGCAACCTTACGTTTATTTTGCCCCAAAAGAATACAGGTATATGAGGAGTTGGATTGAAAACACTTGAACACACACGATGTCAATTGTGTCACTTATCAGAAAATGATACCATGATCAATTTTATAAAACAAATGTTCGTATTCTCAACGAAAGAAAGAATAGGAGGTCTCATATAAAATGTATATGATTTAAATGTATTTTGCACAACGGGTATTTATCGGAAACCCCTGAAAATCTGCTTGGGAGTAATAAGTAGTCATAGAAAAATGGCGGAACAGTATTTCTTATATCGCTATGAATTGTAGAGATATTGCTGAACGGAATAGTGTCACATAATCTATGTTTCTACCGTGAAATTGGAAAAAACATGATTGTGATTGGTCAAATAAAGGTTTCAAATCAGGGTAAACATTGGATTGTAACAGTAGATTTTACGACCGCATAACCTCGGCAAAAAATATTTGTAAGAGCGTAACTCTTTCAGGACAATTGCCAGCAATCACATTGAAATACATATTGTGGTGTACAGAATAAAAGTAAATAAAAAACTACAATAGACAATAGAGCGTATTACGTCGGCCTATGAATACATTTTTGTTGTCACATGTATTGGTGAAAAGTTATAGTGCTGTAACATAGCTATTTCTGCATGAAAAGTTTGACTGCCTATGGTTATTGTCCAATGAAGCGCCAGTGTCAAGATGTCTATCTAGTTATGTACATGCATGCGTTTACCAAAGGTAGGATATAATGTATTCAGGTTTCTTTGTATGGTTGCTGCATATATTGTTTTAATATTCAATCATTTATTCTGTCGTTGTTCTTTGTGATGTCATCTGCAGGTGACTTTATGTGTCAGGACTTTTTAAATATCTGCTACGTGTATCACGAATAATACATGACTTCTCTTACTCTCTTGCTTATCAGGTGGTAATACCAGCAATCGTATTATTTTCTAGAGCCGAATTTCTGTACTAACAAGCCATGTCTATAACTGTACGAATGAACGAAATGGCTATACATGCAAATGTCCAACGGGATTTGACGGCCCTAGATGTGACGGAGGTGAGTTTGTTTTATAAATATCAGTTCTTACGATCAGAACAGTAAAAGTAAGTACATACATATCTTCATTTAACTATATGCAAATTCTATCTACCCGACAAACCAATTAATATCTATATCTGCAAAGGCAACATAAAGAAGGCATATTTTACTGTTTGTGGCTGGTAAACCAGAATATAATTAATACTACACGCTCGTCAGCGATTTTGAGGTTATGAAATTATCTGTTCCACATGGTTTGTTCATTGGTGCTATTCTTATGTGACTGACGTGATGTTGATATCTGTGGAAAGTTGAGTAAGAACAGTTTATACTTTCAAAATCTATTGAGATATACATGCCATGCAGTCTAAAAAAATAAATTTCAACTTTCTACATTCTTACTTTGTTCTTCCTCCTTGAAAAATCATCGGACTATTTTTGTCCGAAAAACAAGATTTCTCACAACTGGTTGTTGTCAAAGCCATGTGCGAGGAACCTATGGCAAAGCACAGCAGAAATCACCCGTAGATCACGATGGCGAACGTGGAACGTATTGCAAGGTTCTGGTTATTATACGGAAAACTCCGGATATACAATGATGCTGATCAAAACGTATTGATTACATCCGGGAGAGTAACAGTTTCTCTAAAAACTTACAATGATATTTCTCTTGTAAAAATGTCATGGCGTTAAATATAGGACACCTGATAACATGGTCTGTATAGGATGTGTGAGATATCCAGTGTACATATATAATATACTAAGCAAAAATTGAGTAATCATTAATATTTTTGGGGATGTTTTTTACTGAAGACTGAGCACACAATTTCACAAAAAGTTAACTGGGCGTCACATGTGAGTCATCTCGTAGATGATTGTACAAAAGTTAAGTTTAACTAAATTACAAATATCCCTAACTCGTTTTAAAGGCAGGACACATGTTTTTTTCATTGAGACAGGTAACCATTTTGCTGTTTGGGTGGTACTGATGAAGATAATAATTGTTTTACTTACTTGGTTTTCCAATGTATGGTGAAAACAATCGGGGAATACGCGAAACTCGCATTTATAAGTCAATATTAACTTGCTTTTCCAATCATAATTCTCAACAGATTGATCTAAATGCCTTCAGACTCATATGATACTATTTCCTGGTAAAAGACCACAGTCACATTGAAAAGGGCAAGAGGAAGCCGAAACGAAAAGCAATTTGATCCAGTATTAACATGTACCACATTCTGATTGAAGATCCGTGTACGAGTAGTGAGATGTTACCTCAAATGGAAGAACGATCGAACCCTTATTCTGCAATCGGCAGTGTGACTGATGAAAACCTAGCAAAGGCATGGTATTCAGCACCAGAAGGAATGAAGATGTCTGATCATGCACCTCCCAGTGGCCCTGCTTGTGGAGCACAAAATGGACTTTGGAGCAAAAGTCGGTAACATATTTGAACTTAGCATATATTGAAGATATCCACTTCACTTTTTTTTATGTTACACTTTTTTTCAAGAACATTTTAATTTGGATAACAATTCAAAACTACAGTAAAATACGGTTATAACGAACACGCTTAAAACGAACTAACGGATATAACGAACTAACTTTTTAGTCCCGACTATTTGCTGTAGTTATACTGTATATATGCTTATAACAAATTACGGTTATAACGAACTAAAATTAGTAGTCCCTTTGAGTTCGTTATAACCGTAGTTTACTGTATATGCATTAAGGCATGTGAAAACATAGTGTCTTTTCTTGGCTCGACTCGTTAACAGAGGAAAAGAAAGACAGTCAGTGGTAAATCACTGTCACTGTCGCGGGCATCGCATTTGTCTACTTTTGATAATGACAGCGTTGATAATCATAACATTTCTGACTATAATTGTTTTTTTTCTAGTGAGGGAAGGGACTTCAGAATACATCTGCCTGCCATTTAAGGATGATACTTGCAAATCAATGACCACCATGAAATCGATGCTGTGTGATGGCAGACGGGTGTACGGAATAGAAAAGGCACTATGGACTTCCAGTTACTGTTTTGGTAATGTCCATCTCCAAAATACTCTAAGTTCCAGTACTCCATTAATCCTTCACTGATGACCTATCTCATCTGTGGCAGAAAAAAACTATATTTATCCACTGCGGGTAGTTTGTTAAGTATGTCTGCAAATCAGTTCTCTGTCGTAGGTTAAAGAAGTCCCAATCTCTCCATCTGGCTTATTGCAATAGGTTGCTGGAGACCTATTCTAACTCAACTGGCCCTGGATATGTACTGGATATAGTATCATGAAAGAAGAGAGATACAATTGCACTACCATTTAATATTCTGTGTTGGGGGTTGGCTGGGTGTTGCTACTTTTGAGGGAATATTATATTTCATTCCATTCTATGACACACACAAAGTTTATTTATGATGGATCAAGCCAAACAATTCATTTTAACCTCAATGGCTAAGATTGCACAACGTCCAGTATTTGCAGTGAAAGATTAATTATTGTGAGTTTGAAACCTATTTTCGGGAACAGGTTATGTTTCTCAAAAGAAACCACCCCTAATAAAATTAAATGATCGGCCTCTAATTCTCTGGGAATCATCCTTGGGGATGCCAGGGAAGAATATAGGTCCTCACACCTCGTGCTTGTTGTAAGAGGCGACTAAATGGATCGGGTGGTCAGGCTTGGTAACATGGCTGATTGCATGTTGTCGTTCCCACTTGCAGAGATCTCGATTATGAACAGGCCGCGGTATTGCTGAGTATGTCGTTAAACAACACACACACACACACACACACACACACACACACACACACACACACACACACACACACACACATTTAGAAATCGAGGATTAACTCAAAACTTGTTCTTTGTAGAATGCAGACCGGACCCGATTGATCTTCTTTTCATTCAAGATGTGTCATCATCTGTTATGAAGAGTGTTTATGACGAAATGAGGCTGTTCATCAAGTATTTTGTCGGTGACATTGATGCAAGCCAAGACGCTCATAATGTTGCTCTAATGACTTTCGCGAAGGAGCCTAAGATTGCCTTCCACTTGAATACGTACAACACCAAAACAAGCATTATGTCGGCCATTCGTTCTGTGAATGGTACAGGTGGAGGCACATATCTGGGCAAAGCTCTCGAATTGGCCGCTTCTGATATTTTCACTGAGAACAATGGTGACCGTGGGGATTCTAAAAACGTAGTCATCCTTCTCACCGACGGCAGAAGCAAAAACACCGCTGACGTATATAAGAACGTCAATGCTTTGAAAGGAACCGCTGAACTATTTGTCGTGACTTCAGTTATAAGTGATATGTTCGCGGATATGCCCTCTTCTGCCCTGTCCTCGAATCATGTCTTTACCTTAAGCGATACAGATGGAGAGCGTTTCACGAGGGTCATCTTGCCTGACCGATTCTGCAATATGGCACCATAAGCAGATATATATACAGGAAGAAATCTCATCAGTTTCGCCTGTAACAGTGAACGACAAAGTTATGAAATAAAAGATTGTATCCTACGTATGTCATGTCTTCAATTACTTTCTCTTTAGTTCTTATTTGTTGGGTTGTTATCTTGTTGGTTTGCTGTTGAACACCGCTCCAAGCACTCTTCCAGCTAGGGGCGGTCGGGTTGCCTAGTGGTTAAAGCGTTCGCTCGTCACGCCGAAGACCCGGGTTCGATTCCCGACATGGGTACAATGTGTGAAGCCCATTTCTGGTGTCCCCCGCCGTGATATTGCTGGAATATTGCTAAAAGCGGCGTCAACCATACTCACCCACCCACCCACTCTTCCAGCTATTTGACTGCGCCCTGTAAATAATCGAGTGTGGACCAGACAGAGCAGTGATCGACATGAGGAACAATATCCGACGCCATCCGGGTATGAGGACAATCAATGAACCAAGTCTTCTTAACTATTCTCACCAAGATTCCCCATGGGGAAACGGAAGGCTTTGTAGATATATATATATATATATATATATATATATATATATATATATATATATATATATATATATATATATATATATATATATATATTCAGTGGGGTGGGTTTGACACTGTTTGTGTCCGTAGTCCAGTTGTATCACGGCGTGTCAGCTTAATGTTTGAGGAAAGCCCGAAATGATGCGGGTGTCCGTCAGGGGTGTCAGTCCTTATCCTAAAGCAATACTGAAACGTTAATAGCTATCCACTTCAGACAAAACATGCTCACGTTTACACTGTGATATTAATGATATTAAAATAAATGATAGTTCATTCTTAGAGTTATGGGCGATTTATAAGTTTTGGCACTGGACCCCAACCCTACCCTCAGTTAACATTTCTGCCCGCGAAGCACAATGCCAACAAACTTAAATTCCTGAAAATAGTCAAACAGTGCAGCAAATGCATCGTACATACAAAGTCCATTGAAACACAGGACAAAAGATGTATGAGTTACGCCCCGGAAGTGAACCCTACCTACACTTAAACGAAATTAATTTTAATTGTAAATAGTCAAAGACACTTTTATTCAGAAAAATATTGAACATGGTATTCTGAGTTATTCTCATGAGTCCGAGAATGCTGCTTTTGAAACGTAATAAGTAAACACTCAACAATCCTCAATATTGAAAGGCACTTTCATGACAACTTTACTGGCCATGGTGCATATACAAAGCTTCCAATCTATACTCCGGAAGTGAACTTTTCTTAACCTATCGTAAATCTAAGAAAAAGTGACATTTAAATTGCAACAACGGAGGGACATCGAGGAAAGACATTTGAAACAAAAATATTGAGAAACAATACGGTAAATAGATGCAAGCACGACGTGTATTCGAATCCGTATGTGTTGTGATAAGGCAAACAGGAATCAATAGGTTACCTTTGGAGAGACAAACAGTGGGAGGGGGGAGAAATATTTACATGTTGTACATTTACCCTGTAATCTACAACAATATAACGTCAAAATCTATCCGCAAAGATTTTGTTTCATGATCAATAAAACTGTGTCTGTAACACCAAATATATCGAAACAGTCACTTCGTTTCTGAATAGACTTAACAAAGCGGTAGGTTAAAACACTCTACCTTCGTCAACTGACGAGCAAAGAAAACTATATCTCTCAGTTGATTTTATCACTTCTTTTATTTTCAATTCGTGATATTATATAAAAATAACTCTACTGGCGCTTAATCAGCACTCAAAGAATCCTTCTGCAAGGTTTTAATTTCATTTAAACCATTGGAATTTAAAAAAGAAGAAATAAACCTTTTAAAAAAATAAATACTAGTAAATGCATAATACGCAATTGATAATAATCATCTTAAACATCCAATCTTTGAATATAGATAAATCTGCTTATTTAAAACATTATAAACATGGTAGGTGGCATGTGGTTGCAATTTATTTTAATACTGCAGTCTGCATTGAACCAAATTATTTTCAGATAACATTATCCAACCACTGATTGTTTTTTACAAACTGATCCAGGAATGAGTGAAACAATTAAATTTAAGTTAAGTTCTTTCAATTTTCGCATACATTCTTTTTCCCCTCATTGTATAAAGGACTGAATAAATCTTTGGAAAATGTAGGCGCAGTAAATTAAAAATTGTTAAAACTACCTAAGCAGTAACAGACACATCACTTGACTCCAGAAGGAACAAAATGTTGATGCGCATAATACAATAAAGAAAGTATTGAAGCTACAGGGTCAAAAGCGCCAGGCTAGCAAGCGCCATGTGCTGAGATCGTACCCCGCTAGTGACCGGATTGTTTCTCAGCCTTGGGACCAACAATGTTTACAGGTCCTTACAGTGTTGTCACTACACCCAGTGTATAGTGGATACTCCCTGTGCACTCAAAAGAACCCGGTAGATGATCAGATGGAGGAAACACGAATACGTACATACACCCGAAACACAGGTGTCAAAACTTGTGGGCAAGGGACTCAGTTCAAATGTGACTTTGTTCACCAAACAGGGAATGGGTACCCGATATGTGAGGTGGTGAGGTGAGATGAAATTGGGTTTAACGTCGCGTCCAAGATTATTGCACTTATATAGCGACGTGCATGCACGTGTATGTGTGTGTGTGGCTGCTTGTACTAGTCCGGACTGATGCCGAATTATAGTGCTAGCTCACTGAGATACCATGCCGCAGTTTAACATGAATACCCCACTCAGACACAGTATACTGACTCCGAGCCGACCAGTCCTTGTTTTAGCCCCTTAATGCCGAGCGCCAGACAGGGTAACAACAAGTACAATCTTTTAACGTCTTTTTGTATGACGCGGCCCGGGATCGAACCCTGGACCTTCCGCTCTCCGGGCGGACGCTCTACCACAAGACCACGGAGGCGGTCATATGTGAGGTGGGAAACCCCCCCTAGGCAGCTTGGGTAGGGAGCTGAGCATGATAATTGGAATGCAAACTGATCCACTTTGGATCACACACGAACCCTACCTGCATTTGAGTTTATCTCAGAAACATATACTCTCAAAATAAAAATAAAAATATCATGAATAGCAAAAGGCACCAGGCAAGTTCAGCATTTGCCTGTTTTGTTATGAAAAGCTTCACAATAATATTGAGTAAATTTCGAAAATGATCCGTATTTTCAATAAAACATAAATTATTACTGACATGTTGCCTTGGAAAAGAAACGAATACAAAGAAGAAAATTACAAAGCGAATGGCACAAGTTCAGCACTTGTCTTTTGTGTTAACAAAGTTTCACAATAAATATTAAACAGTTTATGAGTTATTCACGGGAAATGAGTCCAACTTTCCTTTCCGGACGAGTCCGACTTTCTGCCGTGGAAAAACCGAAAATACAAACATAAAATCAATGTTGATTAGCAAGAGGCACTTTCAGCACTGTACTGGTGTGAATGCAGGTTCAAAGAGGTAATGGACAACTTTTCTTTAACCAACATTTAATCTTGAAACACTGGACACAATACTTAAAACAATATTCAAGAATTAAGGAAAACCTTGATTCAGAACGCGCTGTGGAGCATCATGTCAACATCATGTCAACTTGAGTAAGTGAGTGAGTGAGTGAGTGAGGATTTACGCCTCCTTTAGCTATATTCCAGCAATATCGAGGCGGTGGACACCACAAATGAGCTTTACACATTGTACCCATGTCGGGAATCGAACCCGGGTCTTCGGCGTGACGAGCGAACGCTTTAACCACTAGGCTAACCGACCGCCCCTGTCAACTTGAGAGAGGTAGAGAGTGAAACACATATTGAAGCGTCACACATAACAATATTTACATGACAGCAATGCATTATATAGCCAAAGTGTTCCAAGAGAACTATGGTCAGAGCTATTTGGTTACTGAATATGGCTGTTATGTTGTAAAGGAGGAAAATAAATATTTGTAGTAATTGGATCCTTTAATCCGCGAGCACGTTCAGCTCAAACGAGCCTCTTCGTTTAAAGGGTTAAAATATTCCAAGTTTTTTATCCTACACCACGAGATCTGACTTGGTTGTGGTTTAGGGAAATTTGACAATAAATCGGTACATGAATCAAATTCTTCAACCTCACCTTCTTCCAATCATTGACCGCCAGAGGGAGCTGTTTCAACAGGACAACGCTCCATCGCACACAGCTCGTGTCACGCTAGACTACATTCATAATGCCAACATCAACGGCTTGCCCTGGCCGTCGAGATCTCCAGATCACAACCCAATCGAACACCTTTGGGATGAACTCGATCGACGTGTACGTCAACGTCAGAACACGCCGCAGACACTCCCACAAGTTGCCAACGCGTAACAAGCAGAATGGCGCAGAATTCCGCAGGGCAGAATCTGTACACTTATCTGGTCAGTGCCGAGGTGATGCAGAGCCGTGATTGCTGTCCGGGGCGGTCACACGAGATACTGAGTTCAGCGCAACCTTGTGGCCTTATGTGACATGGCAATGAACAGTTTTTATTGTCTTTGTGCCATAACATTATGACTATCGACCTCCAAAAATGTATATTTGTATCTATAATATGAAATTAAATATATCGTCATTATTAGGTACAATAAATTTACTAAAACTCTACCTGTGCGTTTCTTGTTTTGAAAAGTGTATGTGCATGTCACATGTATATGAAGCGGTTTAACAACATATCAGGAAAGTTAACTCTTATAGTTTACTATTAACTTTTCAATAGCCGGGACCGGTCGAAGAGCCTTGTGGTTTTGTGGTCAAAGTGTTCGTCCATGTTTAAATCCCTACTTGGGTACAGTGTGTTAAGCCCATTTTTTTATGTCATGTGGGTAAATAGTGCTAAAGGGGCGTTAAGAAACACTCACTCACTCCGTCTTCAATGGTCACTGAGGCGTACCTAAAATATATTCAGAAATCCTCCTGCGGGAACATGTTGTAAGGTTCAAAATATCTCTCTCACATTTTTGCTTTGTTTTGTCTTACAATACAATAAATCCTTGAATTTAGCGTCTTTCCCCACAAAACTTCTGAGCCCTCGACGTGACAGCGTGGTACAAGTGGCCTG